GATAGATAGATAGATAGATAGATAGATAGATAGATAGATAGATAGATAGATAGAGGGCACAGAGTGAGAAGATGAAGGGGTGATATCTAAAAATAAAATTGAGGGGTAAGAGAGGATTACACTGGGAAAAGAAGAAAGGGAGAGGTAGAATGGGGTAGATTATCTCACATAAAACAGACAAGAAAAAGCTTTTACAGTGGATGGGGAAGTGGGAGAGGGTAAGAGGGAATGAGTGAATCTTCTTCTCATTGGATTTGCCTTAAGAAGGGAATAACAAACACCCTCAATTGGGTATGGAAATCTACCTTAACCTACAGGGAAATAAGGGGGAAGGAGATAAGAGAGAGGGGGATGACAAAAGGGAGTTAATCAGAAGCAAACACTTCTGAGGAGGGACAGGGTTAAAAGAGAAAATAGAATAAATGGGGGTGAGATAGGGTGAAGGCAAATATAGTTATGAATATGATGGAAGTGTTTTGCATGACTCCACATGTATAACATATATTGAGTTGCTTGCCTTCTCAATGAGGGTTGGTAGGTAGGGAGGAAGGGAAAAAATTTGAAACTCAAAGTTTTAAAAACAAATGTTAAAAATTGTTTTCACATGCAATTGAGAAATAAGATATACAGCAATGGGATATAGAAATCTATCCTTCCCTACAGAGAAATAGAAAAGGAGGGGAATAAGAGAAGGGGGGAGGTGATAGAAGGGAGGGCAGATTAGGGGAAGGGGTATTCAGAATGCACACCATTTTGGGATGGGGGAGGGGTATGATGGGGAGAAAATTTGGAACTCAAAATCTTGTTGAAGTGAATGTTGAAAACTAAAAATAAATAAATTAATAAATGTTTAATATAAAAGACATTTTTTTAAAAAAGATGTGGGTGGGTTTGAGTCCTGGCTTTGCAACCCTGAGCAAATTGCTTAATTTTTCTGTACTCTAGGCACAGGAAATAGCAATAATAGCTGTTTTTTTATGATCTTTTAAAGTTTACATAACACTTTGCATTTATTATCTCATTTACTTTTTATTATCCAACCACTATTTAAAGAGTTAAGCAAACCATAAAGTCTATGACATCAGTGATCATTTCAGAGTTGACTCACTGTATGCATGTTCTAATAGCAATAACTGTCCTTGTATCTTGACCTCAGATTTCCCTACTGATACTAGGCCTCACAATGAAGTATTTTTTGACTTGTTAGTATATTTTATTTTCTTCTTTTTTCCCAGAAGCTTTGCAACATAAATTAATATTTTATCTATTTTAAAATCTTTACTTGACCTCATTTCTTTTTCACATATTTTGGAAAAATGCAAATGCATCATCATGTTTAGTTAGAGAGGAAAAATGCAAATTATTCTACCATTCATTCTTTTTCTATCTGCAATAGATAAATCCCAAAACAAGCATGAATTATTCTGGAAGTGTCATACTGCCTAAAACCCAGTTAATTTGGGCAGACAAGTGTCCTCAAATATGACACAGAGGGACATTCAGCAAAATAAGTATAAAATGATCATGCTTTTTTTTTAGTAATTATACTAAAGTATAAAATATCAAGTTTTTAAAAAATATTGATAAAAATCAAGTTATTTAACTACCAACCTATTCACAAATGTTTTTGAGTTTAGTAGTATATATTTTATCTGTTCATACTTTAGTTGATTCCAGATTTAGGACTTTGTTCAGGAACAGTCATTAATGAGGATGGTTGGAGCCCTAGAAACACACAAATTGCTGTAATTTTACCTGCTGACTTGATAGAGTTTGTTTGAGAACCCTTATTGCCCAGGTGGGACAGTGGGGGAAATATGTATAAATATATACATATACATACATAAATATATGTGTACATAGATACATATATATGTATATACAAACCTATGTACATATATGTATGTGTGTGTATATATGTCTGTGTGTGTGTGTATATATATATATATATATATATAGGTATATAGGAGTCTCTGCAATAAGTTGCTTTCTGGCAATTTAAAGCATAAATAATTACTAAAATATCCTTATTTTTAAATTTAAGTATAAAAGTAAAAACTACTACCAAGTTCTCTTAGTCAATTATATCTGGTATGAAGATAAATCACCTAATAATTTTATCTCCATCAACAACCTTTCTTTGATGCTTCAAAATTACATATAAATATTGAATTTTAAGTGCCTAATTCCTGCCTTAAATGATATTTTTTCTATTTGCTTCTGGAGTTTGAAAAAATATTATTTACTATTAGTCCCCCCAGATTGGATACTCCTCCATTGGAAAATGCATTTCCTTTTGGTGTATACAACCTCAATTTAAGTCATATAATTAATGCAATAAAAATCAAACCAACAACTCAGTTCTCATTTTTGGGTGGGAGAATTAGAGTGGGGAGAGAACACCTTCTCTTGTAAAGTCCCCTTAATTTAGTGATACTGTGATATTTGGATGGATAATGAAAGACTGTAGTAATACAATATTTAAGCAAAACCCAACTGTGATGAACATGAGATATTAATAGAATCCCAAGAAGAAACATATGACATGATCTGAGGAAAATCAACTTGGAATCTGTCTGGGGCCAGTTCTATCCACCTATAAGTCACTTGGGACAGAAGCCTAAGCTGGTGAATTATG